GAGTCAACCTGCGAGAAGCCATATGTACATTCTGTTTGACGACTGCCTCGTGCTTCTCTTTTAGCTCCTTGCGGATCTCCTTTCGAAGACGATGTCGAATCTTCTTGGCCATTCTCTTTCGATTTGCTAGGTGATCATGCAGCTTCGTGCTCAATTCGGAGAGTCCGTACTTTTGGGCAAGTGTTGCGTACTTGGCACCTTTCCTGGAAGAGAAGCCGAATGGGATTAACTCATCTTCAGGAATCTGACCAGTCGATTGAAGGTATTGGAGTCCGTCGCCGATCTCGTTGTAAATCGACTTGAGCTTCATCTCGACTTCAATGTAGTCCTCTTGTTCAACGAGACGCTGTTTGACTTGTGATTCGAGCATTTGTTTGAGATTCAGATGCTCGCCTTCTTCCGGCTTCCAGGTCGTCATATTGGTCTGCGAAAAGAACTTTCTCACTTCTTCTCGGCCCATCCCTGCAGGTCCGCTTAATCTGAACGAGGTCATATCCATATCCCCGAATCCAACGTTGTCATAGAACATGATGCTGTTTGCGCTGGCCTTGTGGAAAGCCAAGTCTTTAGCAACTTCGGTACCAGCTCCTCGGCAGGTCTCGATGATGGCCGTGCGGCGTAGGGAGTAGTACGTGTTTCGCTCTAAGAGACCGATGCTTGCACAGAGCTTTGCGAGCTTGGGGTTCAGCGCCTTCTCAGTCATGGGTTTGTCTGGGACCAGACTGCCTGCTTGGTTTGCGGAAATGAAGACGTCAATCCAGCTCAAAAGTAGTTTTGTGCTCCAACTTACTGCCTGGCTGGCAATGTCGGGGTTTGTCCGGAGGACTATTCCGTTCGGCTTGCCATCGAGAATCTCGTCAAGCGATTGCGAGAATAGACCTCGCTCATAGGCTATACCGAAAAGTATGAGCGACAAGTCGAATTCGAAACGCTCACCTCGGGTAGGCAGAAAGGTAAATGTGCGGCTTGCATCCGAAACCGAGTTTTCGGCGTTGGGGTCGCGGTATCCTTTATGGTACCGGAAGGTAATCCGGACGGCGATCCCGACTTTCATATGGACGAACTCAACATCGGACCACCGGAGACTTTCATCTGTATCACGGACACGCCCGAGCACACCTGGAAGCCTTGTAAGTGTCTGCCTGTTCTGTTTCATCTAGCGTGGAGTGAGATTTCCAGCTACAATGCGTACGCACCTAGAGAAGCACCTTTTTCATAGCCTTGACAGACCGTGAAACTGCCGGGACGAGCGGCCGTGATCCAGGCCAGTAGCATTGCAGCCCAGTGCTGCTTCAGATTCGAGACCCCATACTTCTGTTCCATGATAAAGCGGAAGATTATTGCCAGTTCTCCGTCTGACAGGTTATTTTTCTTCCAATGCTGCGTGCTCAAAGATTCCTTGACGCCGAGGAAGTGGATGTGCCGGCTCAACTCCTCATGTCATTTTTGCCAGAGAAGGTTGAAGTCTTTGACGAGCACAGACGCCCACCAGTACATGGCGTGCTTGAACCCTAGACGCCATGTCAGAAAAGAAGTTTTGAGAGGTAAGGCATCGTGTCCAACGTACCCCACAATGTGCTAGTCTGTATCTTCTCCTCAAACATGCCTTTTGATATCTGTGCAAAGGTCAGTGTGCTACCCCAAAAATGGGTGATAGGACCGCGGGAGTACTTACGTTCAACAATCCTTCCAGAAACTCTTTGCTGCGAGTGACGAACGTGCCCTGGTTCCACACCTCTTCAATCTCGGTCACGCCATACACGGCCTCCATGAATTCTTCAAACTGGGTTCGCATCTGCTCCCGCCTTTTGCCTATAGCTATGAGTCAGTGGCGTTGTTCAAGTGCATCACATTGTCCCACGGCCCATGATACCGAGACGTAAAAGGACTTTTCATGCTGCAGCCATAGGAATGAGCCTTGTTAAAAGTCCTCGCGCGTACCACATGTCCGGGGCCAACCCAACCCGCCACCCGAAGGATATACATAGGTGTCGAGGGTGCTGAACCGTCAAAGAATCTGGAATCACGCGCATTTTACTGGATCGCTTCGACCTTTTCCTTATTCGCCGCCAGGGCTGCGAAGCCTTTGGAAATGCGGGTAGAGACAGATTTTCTAGGAGGAGGTTGTGCCATGACTGCTGTCACACTTGCGCAGTGTAAGGGAGTGTTGTAGAATGTTGAAGAATGCTAAAGAATGTTGAAGAAGGAGGAAGTTGGAAAAACAGAGTGAGGGAGATTTGAGAGGACGGAGTGAAGGCTGTATGTGTGCCAAGACCGGCTGCCTAATCGATTAGCTCGGGCGGTCAAACGAAGTCAAGGTGAGAGTGAGAGGAAGAGGAAGTCGCGGTGACGTGCTGCTGACTCACCTTTTTGTCCACAACAACGGAGCGGCACTTCGACAGCACCATCCTGTATACCTTTATCCTCTGAATTACGTCGAGATCATTGCTTCATGAGCTTCTTTTTCGTCCCAATTCGCGAATCCTAAACCGTTGTCGTCCAGTCCTCGTCGGAAACTACTTTCAGCAACATACGCCATGGAGAACAACCAGATACATCCCGACCGGTTTGCGAAACTGACCAACCCCGAGATGAGGACCAAGCTGTGTGAGTACAAGTGGTGGTTGGGGTTCTGGCCATGCACTAAGTTCAGACAGCCGGTATCAAGCTCAAGGTCAGCGGCAATAAGCACGCGCTTGTTCAACGCTATCGAGACTGGTGGAATGCCTCCGGAACGTCTACCGCGACTGCTGCTACAGCGCCGTCCACAGCAGGGCCATCCACAGCATCACCAGAGCCTGCTATACCAGAGCCTACTACGGAGACGGTTCTCGATACAGCAAATTCAGTTAGTACCGTGTCCATGCTGGAACGTCTGTTTGTCTACCGCAAGCTGAGGGTCTCTACCATTACGCTTGAATGTCTTGAATCGCTGCGGTACACCCCCGGCATTGCATACCGGAAGAAGTCGGCGAGAAAGGACTTTTCCGACATCCTCCAGCCCTTGACGGTGTTTGTCAGTGACGTCCTGAGGACCTTGAAGCAGGTCGAGCTTACGAGCGAAGCGGGCGAGAACGAGAGTGCGCTCAGGGTCTACCTAGCAGAAGCCCGTCCCACCATACGTGCATCAGCCGAACTCGCTCCATTCTTTGCAGCCTGGGGCGTGACGGTGGTGTCTGATTTTCCGTCCGATGAGGGGCTCGAGTTTGATGCCCAATTAGCCTTTGCCATGGACGCATCTAGGGTGACTGCAGCGGCAGAGGCGTAACAGCGTGAAGCCGAAGAGGTTATGGGAAGCGACGCGGTCGAGGAAGCTAAGCAGCACCGAAAGCAACTTTTACAAGAATTGGGCATTGTGAACAGTGCTCTAAACCACTAACTGCCTCGATAGTTAACAACCTTTCCAGCTCGCAGCTTGAGCGATATGCTGTAGCCTAAAGATAAGCAGGATTTATAAAAACCTAAGATATTTAAAGACATTTAGCAGAACACAGTTACAAGAATAAAGGATAATGTTAATTTTCTAATCCTAATGTATAGAATAACGTTAGATATCTAAGCAGAATTTCTTAAATATCTAGATTCATGTATTAAGTCTACTAGTTGCAGCTAGAGCATTGCTAGTACCCGTTCAACATCTTATTTTTGCGAGATTATCTTCCTACGAAAGCTTACTCTAAAGTACAGGTCACAGAAAGTATCTTTCGTAACGAGATAGGCGGCTAGATAAACTTCAATCCCGTATGCGCCATATTCCTAATATTGAAGGTTCTCAGTTATCGTCACGCAGTGAAGGCATCCTCAAATATCTAGAGAGGTAGAGAGCCAACTATGTATTGTACCTTGAAGGTATCCCCGACTAGTATCGATATACTCGCAAGTTTGAGAAATATGCGGCATCTTGCCATTCTCCCCCGCAGATCTCCCCAACTTTTTGGCCCGTTTCCTACGGAGTGTGGCTTGGAACCGCTGAACAGATGTCTATGCCTGTTTGCGCATATGAAGCACATCACAAGTGATTCCCAGTGGACTCTGCGGTCTGGCATCCAACAATGTGACGCGCCCACGGCGATCCCCATCGAATATGCCCCCGACTGGATGCGCGGCATCGATTCATTGGCAGACGACATGGCCGAAATGCCCGACGAGTTCAGTGCAGCCCAGCATCCAGCCGCCGCAGACGAATGGCGTCGAATACAGGTCGTGTGGAAGCATGCGTCACGCCACAAGAAGAATGCAGTCTATGTACAGGAGCTAGAAGAGCAGGATGTCTTTGACGACGCCCCCAAGAATGTCACCATCACGATAAAAAACAGGAATGTGTTTGGCCCACAAGTCCGTGACAGCATACGTGAAGCCTTCAAACTTCACGAGGACGATGGAGAGCTGCAACAGCTAACACTCCACGCTGAACAAGAGCAAGATAAGTCTGTCCAGCCCTGGATGTGGACTGGGATCTTATCTTTGGAATCATTTTCAAGTACCCGGCCCAGGACCCTTCCCTATCATTCACGTGCTTGTTCCGACAGAGGGATAGCAATGAGATGCCCTGGGAATACGGAGGTCCGCCCGCCGTTCTGCTCAACTACCTGGAGGCCAAAGAGGGGGGTGTGGTCTCGGAAATGGTTTCGAAACAAGAGGCCAGCTCTGGAAAAGTTTAACAAGCCCAGCGCCAGATATTTCAGATGACGGTGCCCCTGTTGGAAACTCGTCTTGAGCCTCTCGACTTGTTCGCCAACGACAAGAAGCGTATGTTCAAGTTCTACGACGGGCACGATGTCTCCACTCCGCAAGGTCGTCGAGACTGGCAATTGCGTGTCCTACGGATAACTCGCCGGCACTGGCAAAGTACGGTATGCTGACTCTGCGGTATCTTGGGGTAAATTTATGTATAACGCACGGACCACCAAAAAATCACACTTTCACCATTCCTCCCACCACCACCAAAAAAAGCCCCAACGTCCCCAAATGGAACCAAAAAAGACTCTGTAACAGCCAACTGCATCGAGCGGGAATCGAACCCGCGCCTGAAGCAAAGTACATTATAGAGTGGGAAGCTTCAATTCTACCACTAAACTATCGATGCTGTGGATGAGATTTCTTGCTGAGAACTTTATATATATAGGTACCATTTTGACGGCAGACTTAAGTGTTTTGGCGGCATTTCTTGCTGAGGTGGGAGATGATGTGATGATGGTGACGTGTTCGTATGACGCCGTTTACCCCGCTCTTAATGCAGTGTTGGCGGCGGGTAGGGCTGGTGCTGTTGGCTGTTCAGCCGAAGCGAGATGGAAAGGTTAAGGTCCAGCTTCCTCAGAGAAGATAGTATTGGGAAACAAGTTATCAATAATAGGGTTGCTATTAAAGCTTAAGAATTAGTTAGGGTATTAGGTACTGGATCTCCCCTGGATATGTTTTGCAACGTTTGGTTGTGGGAGCTTGTTACTCGAGATTTTGTTACCGCGAGAGCTACGCTACTACTTGCAGCGAACACATGCAGTTAATATCAGTGCTTATGCTGGGTTATAGGCGAAGGGAAGCTGTTATTATGAAGGATTCATTGGCAAGATGGTTTGTTGGAGTTATTTAGTAATTTTTTTTAAAGGGTAGGTGCTAGTTTCTGTTTGTCTGCGCATGCTCTGCGCGGACATGGAGCGTACTTCAACGTAATATTCTCTTCTCATCGTCTCCTATTTGCGAGCCTGTTGTTGCATTGTCACCGCTAGAATAGTAGACTGAAATGTTCCAAGTTCAAATCCTCGCGATCTTTGATTGACGGACCTTACGTCTGAAGTCAAAATCGGCGTCGTATTTGCTCTCTCTTGCGCGACAAGAAAACATCCCTGCATGCCAAGGATGGCCAGGAATATAGTCAATATACATAAACCAAACTTAGCTATCCTTGCTCTGTCAAGCTCACGTAGTATTATTCGCCTCTTAAACCAGATATACCAAAAGCAAGCCTGGCACTGTAGCAGCCATTACCGACGAAGGTAGACGATGCACTACATTCCGATGCGATCCTCACCCTTCAACTTCATCTTGAAAATCATTACCCGCAACTTAAGTATTTAATAAGAAACCAGTCTCCGCCGACCACTCCCGCACAAGCAGCGCCACCCAGGCTTCCCCGAACAGCAATTTCCATCTACTCATCGTCGTTGATATCGACGACCGTCTGCTTCCACTTGCGAGCTGGGACATGGCGGTTGAACAGAATGTCGATCTCACGGTAGGACCTGTGCTTCATCTCCGGAATCCAGAGCCAGGACATGGCGGTGCAGATAAAGGCGGTGGCAGCCCAGATGTAGCCGCTCTTGCCGCCCAGGTTCCATTTATCGGTGTTGAGCATGTAGCTGGCAAGGAAGATGCAGGGGATATTGACCAAGTAGTAGGCACCACGTCCGATACCGGTTGTCAGTGGCCTGAGACGAACGGAAGACGTCTCGCCGATGATGACCCAGGAGGCAGGGGCGGGTCCCAAGCAGAACAGGACGGAGACGATCAGGCCAAGTGATGCTTGCGCTTGGCTAGCCGCCTTGCTAACGCCAACTGAAGCCGCAATACCGAGCGCGATCAAGAATCCACAGTTGATCAATTGACCATAGACGTAGATGGTGCGTCGGCCGAGGTATGTGGTGAGGACCCACGAGACCATGACCATGAGCCACTGGAGGGCGGAAGTGATGAGACCAAGTGCGAATGCGGTGTTGTCCGCCATGCCGGCCTCTGCGCTGGTGTTAGCCTGCTATGAGGTTGCAAGAGATGGTTGGACTCACGTTTGAAAAAGTAAACCGCTTGGTTGGCGATCAGATTGCCCGTCAGATTCTGAGATGCGTACACACCGCACACAATCAATGTGCGGTAGCGATCGGTACCTTTCCACAGTTCAAGGAGACTGGGCTTCTTCTCGGTCTTCTCAAGCTCGATCGTGCGACGCATCATTGCGACTGCGTCGGCGGGATTATCATTTGCACTCGCGCGTCCAAGGCGTTTGATAGCCTTCTCTGCCTCAGCCAAACGGCCCTTTCGTACGAGCCACCAGGGTGATTCGGGCGCAATGAAGAGTAGGATAGCGAGAGGAGTAGGAAACATCCACTGGAGTGCAATGGGGACTCTGGTATGACCGTTAGTACAGTGCTCCTCGATGACATCTAAAGGAGCGGACGAACCTGTACGCGGAAGAGTTGGGCTGGGATTGGTAGTGGTAAGTGATACCGCCAACAATGATCGACCCAATAGCCCAGAACATCTGCAGCATCTGCGTCGCCGGCGCTCTCAATCTCATTGGCACAATTTCGGAGCAGTAGGCGGGTGCATTGGCGATGAAAATGCCCCACGGGATGCCTTCCAGGATCTGGGCCGCGAAAAACATGCCCTGGCTGTTGCCGAAATAGAAGATGAAGATGAAGGCGTTCAAGCACATGAGACCGCCAATGGTTGCCCATCGATATCCAATCCAACTGGTGATGGGACCTGCGATGAAGACACCGATGAAGGCACCGACTGGTCCGCTACACTGGAATGCTGACTGCCATGAAGCCTCGATAATATAGCCTTGTTCTTGCTCGCTGTATACACCAAAGTCCTTCGCGAATTGAGCTGTAGCTATGAACTGTCCCATCAAGAAAACACAGTATGACTCCATAATCTATCGCAGCGTTAGAGAAATGAGCTGCCTACTGTATCATGACCAAGAGCTTACAATAGTGCATGACATGACGAATGCCCACCAACTGGCAGCGGGATAGGCCTTGACAGCCTCGAGCACAGTCATATTAAATTCGGCCTTCTCGGCATCGATGGCGCCCGATCTGTCGTAGTCGACCTTCTCATCGTAGGCAGGTCCGCCCTTGGAGGTGGGCTGTGCCTCGACCTCCGCTGAGGTCGGCCTCTCTGTGGCGATGTTACTCATGTTGACGATTTCTGAGAGAAACGTGAGCGACGATGGGAACGAAAGAGAGGCAGCACAACTGGGTATTCGGGTCTTTATCCCTGCGACAACACGCTTGTGATGGTAATTCCGATCTTAACTCATTAGGGACATTTTCCCGCGCATCACGGAAGCAGCGCCGCATTCGCAACGTCGCATTCGCCTCGCCATCGCTTCGATCAAGCGTTCTTATTAGCCATAGCGGACGTCGGTACATATTTTCCCGCGTCGCCCCGCCCGCATGTAACGGTGTAATTTTGGGCTGTTGTTGAGCGGAGGAATCTAGTACTAGTCGGGAGGAGATGCGCCGGTCCCATGGGACATATTTCCCCGCAGTGTCAGTTGCGGGGCGCTTCCCTGTCGGTTTTCCCCAGGCGGTGGACCGAGCGCTTGCGCTTGTCCTATTCAGCCCTAAAAACGGGTAAGCACTAGACTAGTTCTCACCGCACGGTTCTCTTCACAAGACAGTTTCCTATATCGTATTAGCGCACTTCCAGGGCTCGGTTCACAAAGCATAATCCCTGCCAGCTCTAGCACCATTTAGGTAAAAGCGTGTGCCGAAGCATCCGTGCGCTGGGAACAAATGAATGTGTAAACCCAGAAATTGGGCGGAGATGACAGTCCTGGCCTCAGAACGGCGCGGCTGCACTGTACAATACAGTAATACTGCACCTTCCCAGCACCGACGGGACGAACAGGATACTGTCACAGAGCTGACCCAGTACCGTAGCCAGCGTCTCTGATTGGGGGTGGGTCTTCAAAAGTGGAGACAAGATTTAAAACGATCTTCGATTTAAGTTAAGGACCAATCCTTGACTTTAGGGACGGGATTCTAATCGCTATCTGATTTGCTGATGAATTCTCTCATCAAGTCAGATTTGCATGTGATTTGCTAATTCCCCCTGCTACACCCTGCAATCCTACTAGAGCTTACTAAAACTCTAATTACAAGGGTTACAATGTGGCTACTAATCCACTCACAGGAAAGGATTAGGGTAATTCCATTGGTTGAACCCCCCAAATCACAAAACGGCGCTACGCACCCGAGCCGAGGGGAACTGTATGCCGGGGTAAAAGGAGGGGGGAAAGGCCACTAGCACCTTCTCTGCGTCTTCTCTTCATCTGGGGCTTCTGGGACACCCTAGCCTCGCTCGTATCTATCCTATTGATTATTGTACAGTATCCGCCTCTCAGGTCTAAGCTGCCCTTTCACCAGCGCAGCGCAGCCTCTTGCCCCTGATTCCACCTGAGCTACAGTCCCGGCTTCCTACCTGACAGTTGCAGGAGGACCTACCACCGGGTTTCGGGGTCAGTATCCGTCACATAACAGAAAGCCCGCGATCTGTACGCTCTGCCAAATCAGGAGGCCTGCACGTGACAGATATCAACCCTCAGACCCGGTGGTAAGGATAGCAATACAGTATACTGCAGCCTACCACCGACGGGACGAACAGGATACTGTCACAGAGCTGTCTTACCACCGGTGGGCAGTACCGTAACCAGCGTCTCGGATTATTTTTGGAAGTAAGTCTTCTGAAGTGGAGACAAAAATTTACAATAATGATTCCTCGATTTGAAAAGACCAATCCTTGAACCTTTTTGAGACGGGATTCTACTGTAAAAACTCTCACTGTCTGATTTGCTGAATGAGCCATGTCTAATCCTAGCTGTCCCCGTCGGTGTTTGATCAACCTTCGCGACGCCCCGCGCTTCCACACCCCAGCCGCCATGAAAAGCTTGCGCGCCATGAAAGCTTGCGTGCCTTGATCGCCTTGATCGCCTCGCCTCGCCGCCGTCACTATCATCGCGCAAATCGCACGCTGGGCGCTGGGCGCTGGCATTATTATTTATCTATTATCAAGGATCCGTCTACTCCTGCTCCTGCTCCTGCTCGAGCGATGCCAGGAAACAAGCTAAGCTACACCCTATCAACAATAACAATAATGGGGTTACTGTTATCGATAAAGCTCAAGGCTTAGCCAGAGTATTGCAAGGTTTGGTTGGATTGTGAACAGCTTGGTTTTCTCTTATTCCCCCCTCCTCCTCAATAGACAGGACAGGACAGGCCCTTGAATGCAAGGTAAATAAAAGCTCCATACTGGCTTCTTCACAAGGGCCGGCCTCTCAATCCCCAGTGGTAAACAACAAGACAG